AAGAGGCAGGGGGGGGGGGTCTTTCAGGTTAAAAAAACTCGATTTTTTTCTTCGAGATAATTAAAAAATAAAGCAGGGGACCGGGAGCAAGAAACAAGGGTGGGAAATGAGATAGAGAAACACCACCTTGACATACAGAGAAGATGACGATCTTCTAACTCTGTAGCGACGTAGCACACACATAATAACATATTTATTATGTCCTATCAGCAACAGACAAAAGTCAATATTTCAGTGAGGCACCTCACGGACCTCTATACACACATCAGAAACGAGAATATATAATAACGTGCATATCATTATTTCAAAGTAGGCGTGTTGGTACCTGGCTTCTTTTTTTTTTTTTTAGTTTCGGTTAATGAAACATGAAAACCGAATAATGATAATTGAGCAAACTGTAAGAATAACAAAGTATTTCTTCTTGTAAAGCTTGCCTAGAAATAGCGCGTCTGCAGGCGTTGTCGAATGAGCAGGATGAGTTAATGATAGAGTACACCTCGTCAACTTGACGGGTCGGGGACTCAAGCTAAAAGATCGATGTCGACGTGTTAGTCTTAACCTTGGATTTGCTTCTTTAGGATTGAAGTGGTAGCTATTTTTTAAACAGTTCAAATTTGGTCCTGTGTGTTCTTTTTTAACAGTTCTAACATCGTCCTGGATATTTTTTTTGAACGGTTCAAACGCAGTGCTGAATGAAATTAAGAGACTTCAGAAATAGTTCCAGAGGGTTATTAGTAAATAGTTCAGAACAAGTTGTTGGCGTTTTATTATAGATCAATATCAATCCTGCAACATTGTAGTGTAATTATCAAGTAATTCCAATTTTTTAAATGTATATGATAGATTACACCTCGTCAACTTGACGGATCGGGGACGCAAGCTAAAAGATCAATGATTACGTCTTGCCTTAACCTTGGATTTGCTTCGTTAGGACTGAAGTGGCGGTTATTTTTTAACAGTTCAAACGTCGTCCTGGGTATTTTTTTTGAACGGTTCAAACGTAGTCCTGAAAGAAATTTAAAAACTTCTGGGATAGTTGCAGGAGGTTATTAGTAAACAGTTCAGAACGAATTTTTGGAGTGTTACGAGTCTGGTTTGTCGGCAAGAGAACTTCTCGACAGGATGACAGACAGAGAGACAAGAAGTAAAATCTGGACATCCTCTACACAAATCAAGAGACGAGAGAATGAGTGAGTGGGAGAGTAAGTAAGTAAGTGAGTGAGTGAGTGGGTGAGTGAGTCAGTGAGTGAGTGAGTCAGTCAGTCAGTCAGTCAGTCAGTCAGTCAGTCAGTCAGTCAGTCAGTCCGTCCGTCCGTCAGTCAGGCAGTCAGTCAGTCAGTCAGTCAAGTCAGTCAGTCAGTGAATGACTGAGTGGTGACTGAGGGCCAGTGAATGAGTGAGTGAGTGGGGCAGTAAATTAATTAGTGAGTAAATGACAGATAGACCGAGCCACAAACAGTCAGTTATTTGACGTACTTTAGCTGATGGTCAACAACAGCGCTGGGATCTCCCCTCTTCCCCATCTTGCAGGTCCCCACGGGGTGGTAGATGGTGTGGATCTTCTGCCTTACCATACACTCCCAGTAGGAGTCTGTGTCGTAGGTGTGCTCGCTACAGAAGCGGTTCGGGGCGTCCGCGGGTACGGCGCCAATTGCCTTCAGAGGGGACGCCGTCAGGAACTTCTTGCAGTAGTTGATGCCTGTGAAGTAAGGATATATGGGTTCAACGTCTGTATCAATACTTTTAGGTTATTAAGAGGCGCTGTGAAAAGAACGAAGAGAGAGAGAGAGAGAGAGAGAGAGAGAGAGAAAAAGAGAGATAGAAACAAATTGAAGCAATTGAGGCAGGGGGGGGGGGAGTGGGGGCAGAAAGAGGAGACGAAAGCAGACGACAGAACATTGCTAGAGAGCAGGAAAGGAGGTGAAAGGATACACATTTAGA